AAACTCAAAAACAAGCTATAACTTGCTGCTACCCAGTATGTCCCACGATTTGTAGCCTACTTCCTACTTTTTTGTCTTTATATAATATTATTATATATGCAGTTGCAGCATATTGCAGTTGTTTTTGGCTGTATGTTTTTTTATGTTATTGCACTTACACACACGCACGCACACAAACACACACACATACTCATATTTTGCTGAATCACTGTGAACATGTGCCCTGGAGCAATATAACAGTCAATCTGAGTCCATCTATTCTCACAGCAAAGTTGTTATTACCCTTTTACATTGTGTAGTTCAGAAGGATTTTATAGTTCAAACCATCCATCCATTTTCCCCTGCTTAATCCGTCAGGGTCATGGTGAGGCAGGTACCTATCTCCAGCACTCTATGGGTGAAAGGCAGAGTAAACCCTGGACAGGTCGACAGTCCATTACAGGGCAACACAGAGACATACAGCCATGCACATACTCACTCACACTTAAGGAAACCTTTAACAATAATTCATGTCTTTGTACTGTGGGAGGAAACCCAGGAGGCTGGGAATCAAACCCAGGACCTTCTTGCTGCAAGGCAACAGTGCGGCATATGTGCAGCCCTAATTTAAACAGATTTAAAGAATTCAAAAATATTCCTGTTTAAAAAACCCTACCTACCCCATCTCTATTTCTTTAAATAAAATGTAAACCAAACTGAATCAGCCACTTTGACAGAATTTTCTCAATAGGGATTGATTACTTATGCAGAAACCAAGCTGTGGTTTATGAGAACTGGTATCCTTCAGATTTGGTTTTTGGTTTTCTTGTAAACCTTTGAGGCTTAGCTGTGTTTGCACTTAGTGGCTGATGGACAAATTTAGAGCAAAAAGAGCACCTATAGGCTAAACTAAGGATACTGTGCTGTATGAGGAGGAGACTACACAAACAATTCACATCTCAAATAATATTAAGCTGCCATAGATTTAATATTCTATCAAGTGGTGTTAGAAAATTTGAAATAAGGTTTTAAAGTTTAGCTAAGGGAAATCTTTTCATGTTTTTCCTCCTGAGCTTACTGAGACTGTCTGTTTTATCTCATCATCTTTATTAGCTTTTTTAACTGAATGGTATGCATTAGTATATTTTATTTTGTTTGATATTATTCTTCATAATAATAAGCCCTGCATATTCAGCATCTTAACCTTATTTTTTTTAAAGTTCTTACAGCACTTGCGGCTATGGTGAGTAGGCTGACAGGAAAGGGGAGAGACATGCGGCAAAGGACCACAGGCCAGATTCGAACCCAGGTCGGCAGCTTCGAAGACTTAGGCCTCTGTACATGGGTCATGTGCGCTAACCACTGCTCCACCGAACCACACCCCCATCTTAACCTCTAAACTCTCAAATAAGACTATTTTATTCAGAGGCAGTCACACACTAAAACACAAAATATCCTCTTTGGAAACATAGAACTAACAAAAAAACAAACAAAAAAACAAGCGGATTTTACTAAAACTTGCAAGACTTTTTAGAAACTTTAGGTCTTACATACGTAGAGCAGAGGTGTCTGTACGTAAGTATAGTTTTTAGGTATCTATACTTTACTCCATTACTTATTTTTCTTCCTACTTCTGACTTCTACTCATTACATTTTCACACAAGTATCTGTAATTTCTATTCTTTACATTTTTAAAACAAACGTTACTTGTTACTCTTGGCTTCGGCTTAATGTTTATAAATATTTATTTCACGTTATGTGTGCCATCCAATGCAGATCATTGGCACCATCCACATCTAGTGGAAACTAGTGTAATTGGATGAGTCATGTAAGGCAAACACTCATTGGTTAGCTAAAGGAAATCATCAGAAGCAAGCAGGTGTTCTTCAAACTGCAAACGTGAATTGTCTATGCCATGCTACAATGTAGGATTCAGAAAAAGATCTTAAAATGTCTGAAAGGTCGGACACAGGCGAGAGCGTATTGGGAGATGGAGACCAACAATACCTCCCTCATCCTTGGCCCTATCTCAGAGAATCTTCCAAATTAGTCGTAAAATTGAGTTTTCAATTAATATCGTGGCACCTGGCTTTTTTTTTTTTTTTTTGGAAAGTTTACTTTATACTTTTATATTTTAAATAGTTTTTAGGGCACATACTTTTCACTTTTACTTGATTAAAGAGGTGAAGTTGATACTTCAACTTTTACCAGAGTGTTTTTAAACTGCAGTATCTATACTTCTACTTAAGTAACAAATGTGTGTACCTTTGACACAACTGGCATAAAGGTTTTAGGGTTGGTAACTTTCATGGAATCTATAGGATACTAACAATAATTTGCAGGACTGGATCTTAAAGCCTATACTCTCAGGTCTGTATGTATTACCGGTATATCTTTAAAACAGCTTTCCTGGAACTTATAGGATACTTTCCTGGTACAAAAGAGCATTTCCTTGAGCTGAGATGGTAATTTCCACAAAATGAACACATTGTTGAACTCAAATTTAAAGGTGTATTGTCATGTTATATTAAATTCTTTTACATTTGGTAGGAAAGGGAATTTACTTTTTCCTTTATGTTCTGATGGTTCAATAGAACTTAGAATTACTCTATATCATTCTATTTAATTAATAAAGGTTGGTCTTGGACAAACCGTTATTAAGCTGTTGCTGTTCCCATTAACTGTTGCTTTATCTCAAAGCATTGCAGGACAACCACGCTCAGACTATATTCCATTCTGTAAATAAGACTATATTTAGAGAATGGTTTCAAAAAGCTTTTATGATGCTTTCCTGGAACTTGCACTACTTTCCTCAAAATTGCAGGGAACTTTTTTTAAACCTACAAGCAGACATTTTGCAAACGTATCATTTTATTAAGCTTGTCTTGGACATGCATGTTTTTATAGCACCTAAAGTCTACTGTCTTAGAGCTTACAGGGTTCTTTGTCTGAACTTACAGTCTGCTATTGGGAGCAAGTGTCATATTAAATTGCAACTTGACATTTTCCCTGAACCTTTGATAAGTAAGTAGATTTTTAGGCCGGTACTTAAAGGGCCTGTAGCCTGTAAATTCCACTAGACAATTTTCTAAGTTCTTTAAGATGTGTTGCACTTAAAACAAACAAAAAATACTAAAACATATTTATTAAGACTAAGTTGGTAAACTTAATTCAAATAGCATTTTTCACAGATAAAAATCACAAAATTCTTTATAGTGTGCAAATAAAATATATACAAACATAAGAAAACCCAAAGAAAAACAATTAAAATATTTAAGAACCAAACAATTGTGTTCCATCTTTTTATCATTTATCAAATGATTGTCTATTCATCACGAAATTCCCAAAGTTACTTTCAAGAATATATTGTTCATGAACAAATTGAAAAACTTAATGATACCAATAAACCTACCCTTCTGCATCTGTAAATGTTTCCCCCCTTTTTTTTCCTTATCCTTTCAAGAGGATAAAGCAGAACGATGTTACAATAAACATTCCAGAGGGAGTCACCCACCCGGTTCATAATTAGAGACCCGGTAGGCTGAGTAAGATACACTATATTGCCAAAAGTATTTGCTCACCTGCCTTGACTCACATATGAGCTTAAGTGACATCCCGTTCCTAATCCATAGGGTTCAATATGACGTCGGTCCACCCTTTGCAGCTAGAACAGCTTCAACTCTTCTGGGAAGGCTGTCCACAAGGTTTAGGAGTGTGTTTATGGGAATTTTTGACCATTCTTCCAGAAGCGCATTTGTGAGGTTGCACACTGATGTTGGACGAGAAGGCCTGGCTCTCAGTCTCCGCTCTAATTCATCCCAAAGGTGTTCTATCGGGTTGAGGTCAGGACTCTGTGCAGGCCAGTCAAGTTCATCCACACCAGACTCTGTCATCCATGTATTTATGGACCTTGCTTTGTGCACTGGTGCACAGTCATGTTGGAAGAGGAAGGGGCCAGCTCCAAACTGTTCCCACAAAGTTGGGAGCATGGAATTGTCCAAAATGTCTTGGGATGCTGAAGCATTCAGAGTTCCTTTCACTGGAACTAAGGGGCCAAGCCCAGCTCCTGAAAAACAACCCCACACCATAATCCCCCCTTCACCAAACTTTACACTTGGCACAATGCAGTCAGACAAGTACCGTTCTCCTGGCAACCGCCAAACCCAGACCCGTCCATCAGATTGCCAGATGGAGAAGCGCGATTCGTCACTCCAGAGAACGCGTCTCCACTGCTCTAGAGTCCAGTGGCGGCGTGCTTTACACCACCGCATCCGACGCTTTGCATTGCACTTGGTGATGTATGGCTTGGATGCAGCTGCTCGACCATGGAAACCCATTCCATGAAGCTCTCTGCGCACTGTTCTTGAGCTAATCTGAAGGCCACATGAAGTTTGGAGGTCTGTAGTGATTGACTCTGCAGAAAGTTGGCGACCTCTTCGCACTATGCGCGTCAGCATCCGCTGACCCCGCTCCGTCAGTTTACGTGGCCTACCACTTCGTGGCTGAGTTGCTGTCGTTCCCAAACACTTCCATTTTCTTATAATACAGCTGACAGTTGACTGTGGAATATTTAGGAGCGAGGAAATTTCACGACTGGATTTGTTGCACAGGTGGCATCCTATCACAGTTCCACGCTGGAATTCACTGAGCTCCTGAGAGCGACCCATTCTTTCACAAATGTTTGTAAAAACAGTCTGCATGCCTAGGTGCTTGAATTTATACACCTGTGGCCATGGAAGTGATTGGAACACCTGATTCCAATAATTTGGATGGGTGAGCAAATACTTTTGGCAATATAGTGTAGATGACTGCAGTGTGTGTCAGTGCAGTGTGGTAGAGTAGGAGGGGGGCCTCGCTGTTCCAGAGACTGCTGGTTAAATGCAGGTGGTTGGGTGTACGTGTCAGCTTTTATCTCCACTTTGAACACAGGTAAGCTCAGGGGCCTACACAGGTGTGTGTGTGTGTGTGTGTGTGTGTGTAGAGGGCTGAGAGTTAAAAAATGATGGTAGCATTTACGGTACAAAAAAGGCCAGAGGCAGAGATTTGTTAAGGTGAACAATATTTGACGGAGCTTTGCTGAAGTCACAGAGTGACACAGATATGGCCTTTGTGTTGGTTATGAAACCACTAATGATCTGCATCGTACAGACACTGATGTGGTCATTGAAGGGGTGCTGGGCCTGGTCACAAAAACATCAAACAGCAAGCAAATGCTTTGGTGGAGAAGTTGTTTTGACTCACTGGGTTCCCTGCAAAGGAGAAGACACAATAACTTCTGAATCATTTTGTCTGCTAGGGTGTTTTGGTTTTAATTAGTGTAATGAGACAAGTGATTATACTGGCAAGGGAAGAGAATGATCCCAACAGCACACAGGGACTCAGCATTTATGTCAGAGATTGGGAAAAAAACACCACACTCTACACATCTGTTGATAAGAGAGAAACTTAAAATGTCCTTTGTTTAAATGGTGGAAAAATCATGTGACCTTTTTAATTTAGGTCATCTCAAAAACAGCATGTTCCATGAATTAAATATTGAGAATGTGCTGGAGTTTTCCTCTCCCCTGGCACTACATGCATACTTGGTGTGAGGGATTGCCTTTAAGTCAATGAGTCGATGCAATAACCTGGTTTTCCTTAGATAGAAAACTTTGAACCAAACTGACTGCATGATCTGGTTGAAATGTCTTTGTAAAGTGGCTTAAAGTGGCATGTGTTGTGAATTGGCACTATATACATAACCTGAATTGAATTGAATTACAACACAAAGTTCAAATGACAGAGCTGAAACCTGTTGGATAAAAACACATTCTTTTCTGAGTAACAAAACCCTTCTCATCTTTCTAACTAGACATAGATGGCAATTCCCGCTATTGCAACATACTATTACCACACCTGAAATTATGCTATGGCCTTTGGTTCCATGTGCTACTGTAAAATTATTTTTGGCCCTCAGTTATATTTAACTAGTTCCTCACTTTCTGGAAGGGATTTTTGATGAAAATTGTTGTCCTGCATAATTTAATGCTTTGTTTTTGTTCACATGGCTTTTGGTAAATACATGTAAGAGTTTTGCCTGTGAACATGTTTAAAACAGGTTAAACCTATTGGACAGAAACACATTCTAAAATAACACATATCTCACTCACAACTGCTCCTTAAATACTATCAAAGTTATTTATTCTACCTTGAAACCTTCACTGTCACCAGAGCACCAATGTTTGTGTTTAAATCAAAATATTAAAATATCTGCTAATCTTTAACCTTGTTTTTGTGACTAGCATTAAATATACGATTGGTGTAAATGACTTTACACTACATTTCTGCTGGTCAACTGAACGTTGCTTTTATTGTGTGCTCCACTTTGGTTTCTGCTGATGAGACTGTAATTGCAGACGCATGCACTTGAACTGCTTCATGCATGTAACCATTGAAAATCAGTCAGAGAAATGATAGAAATCAGAGCAAGCAAAGATGTCCGTGTTTTTTTTTTCTGTTCCTAGATCTGAATGAATGAACAAAGTATTCTCATTGAATACTTTGTTCTGTACAAAGTTGAATGTGCTGAAAACAAAATCACACAGAAATCATACATGGAAATCACATGTATTAACCAATGGATGCCTGAATTTGGAGTCACACAAAATTAAAACACACTACAGGCTGATCCAACTTCGATTTAATTCCATACAGCAGGTCCGAATGAGGTTCAGTATTGTGTGTGGTTACCATGTGAGTATTGACCCCTCTACTGTACATCCTCTGGGCATGCTCCTGATGAGGTGGCGAATGGTTTCATGAGAATTATCCTCCCAGACCTGGACTAAAGCATCAACCAACTCCTGAACAGTCTGTGGTGCAACATTACAGACTGTAATGTGGATTGATCGAGACATGATGTCCCAGATGTGCTCAGTCAGATTCAGGTTTAGGGAAGGGACGGGCCAGTCCATAGCTTGAATGCCTTCATCTTGCAGGAACCGCTGACACACTCCAAACCCAGGGTCAATAGCACCAGCATATGGTCTGACAAGGGGTCTGAGGATCATGCTACCTCTGGTGAGCCACTGGAGGCCTGTGCAGCCCTCTAAAGAAATGCCATCCCACACCATTTCTGACCCACTGCCAAACCGGTCTTGCTGAATGATGTTGCATGCAGCAGATCCCACTTTGCACAGTCTCCAGACTCTGTCACTTATGCTCAGTGTGAAACTGCTTTCATATGTGAAGAACACAGTGGTGATTTTTTTAATCTTGGTTTTCTTTGCCAAATGCAAGTGTCCTGCAGAGTGCATCTCCTGCTACCACAAGTGTGAAACCACCCAAACATTCAAAAGGGAAGAATACATCCACCACAAAGCATAGGTACTGAGAAGAGGTCTGTGGTCCCACCTGCAAAACCACTCCTTTATTGAGGGTGTCTAGCTAACTGCCAGTAAATTTCCTCCTCTTTTCTATTCCATTTGCACAGCGACGGGTGAAAATGATTGTTAATCAGTGTTGCTTCCTCAGTGGATATTTTTTGAGCAGTGCATATTTATATTTATATATAAATATATATTATATATAAGAGTTTTCCAATAAAGGTATAATTTTTCTTTTTATAGAGCAAAGATACATTTTTAATGCATTTTCTTTATAATGTCTTTAGTATCATTCAGATTATCTAAAGACAGTTCTTTCTTGGGGAAAAAGAGTCATATTAACAAGGCTCCTAAACTAACACTTTGTACAAACTAATTTTTATTACATTTATTGTGTTTGGTAACTGATTTTTCGATATGACTTTGTTTAGACTCCTTTGTTTAGAACCTTATGATGTTAGTTCGAAATCAACAAAAGCTTTCTTTAAAATTAATCAAAGATTTGGGAACTTTCTAAGCAAAATCCAGCAAGAAATCCATGCAAGAAGCTAAAAGATCGCTGTTGGTAAGAGATGAGCTCATATTCCGATAGATTTGGAACATTTTAGAAAGAAAAAGTCAGTAAATATTGCTAATTCAAGATAAGGCATGCTTCTTTACTAAAGACACCTAAAGTCAGAAACTATATTTAAAACCCATAGAACAAAGTGTACAACGTGGTAAACAAGGTAAAAGCTGCACTATTGCAACTTTTACAAATTTTAATTTAATTTATTTTCTAAATTTTATGTACAATGAGTATATATGGGTGTGTGTGATGCTAAGGTACCCTGTGAAACATCTAGGTGTCAAAACAGGTAAGACTCACTAATAGGGTTTGATTGCACATATCCTGCATAGAAATATCTGAAGAAATGTTGCATCTTCATAATTCACCCAAAGGAAAGATGCCAAGCTGTCAAAGTTGGAATGTTACATGTTGAGGTGCCAAGGTTTATATGGAGAGAGAAAAAAGAAAACAAGAAAATTACGTTAACTCCAGCAGACCATAAGGAATGTTGCCAAGTAGCATGTAGGGGCAAGTACAAAGAGTGATTACGCCCACCTCCACCCCAACAGACACACACACACACCCACACACACACACAGGCAGAACACAATAATGAGTCAAAGGAAGCCTACCATACTGCATAGCATTTTCAGACAGATATGCAGTAGTTTATGTTCAGTCTGGCCCAATAAATGTTGAACATGAGGTGCTTTTCGACACATTTATTAATTTTTAAATCAGATATATTTAGACTTTGTTGCTGAAAACCTCATTCTATGGCTTACCAAAATCCAGGTTCCAGTAGTGTACTCTGCAATCTATACCTCAATATTTCTAAATAGTAAACGCTTTTTTTGTTGGCATCCTTCCTAAATGACTCACTGCGGTAGCTTTTGAAGGATAGATATAACAATAACTTGATTGTAGATGCACCACCATCTTTCATATATGAGTGAGGTGATCCAGGCAGTGGCCCACCCACCGACTGACCTTGGTTAAGACATAAAAAAAGAATGTACATTTTATTATGAAATTAAAATATTTCGAAATAAACATATTTTTTAGATTTTTTAGATGTGCTTGTAAAGGTGTTTCGTTCGTCATCGGATTGGTGATGTATTTCTGCCCTGGGGCACAAAAATCTTTGGTTATTGACTCTTGTTAAAAGTTGTACATGTGCAGTTGCTCCTCTGCAATGAAAAAGGATAGAAGATTAAAAATACTTGCAGAAGGAACTGTCGTCACAATCGTAATGCGGCTGATTCACAGGTCAGGTTGTGGAAGTGAAATCCCTTAAAGCAAACTTACCAAGAGAAGCTGGAGGTGAAACTGTGAAACAGATGGAGATGGTACACCTGGTCTTTTACATGGTTTAGCAAGAAGGCTTGGCTAACTGCATGCAGCAAGGCTAACACTTTATTCTGCTGCCTTGACTGCCTGCCTCTTTTTATAATTTCAGGATCTGACCAAGTACTGGTGACCTGTCCAGGGACTGGCGACCTGTCCAGGGTGTGCCCCGCCTCTCGCCCATTGACAGCTGGAGATAGGCACCAGCACCCCTCGTGATACCACTTGGGAGTAAGCGTGTTAGAAAATGGATGGATGGATCTGACCAAGTATGGATAAAAACAGCTAGGACTGATTTAAAGCACTTTTAAGAAAAGGCAAAGAAGCATGAACAATCTGGAATTCGCATTGAAAATAACATAATATAGTGTACTTTTTCTAGGTGTTAAATAAACACATTCTCAGAATAAAGAAAAAAATCTATATATCAAAATATATAAAGCTGACAAATAGCTTCTCCGTTATGAAACTGGTACCTTATTTTTTATTTTAGATTTGTGTTACAATATTGGACCATGCAAAGCACAGATTTGCCTTCACTGAAACTGAAATCTCGATTACAATGCAAATTGTAATTGATGATAAAGAAATGGTTTGATTGATTAAATGACAGAGCCTCAGAGGAAACAAATTATTTACAAAAAGTAAACCTGTACATGAAATTATGTTTTTGTTTTTACTAAATGTTAATGTTTTTTGCTGTTGGCAATAATGCAAATATACTGGTGTGGTCACTTAGTATACTTTTGATTGGGTTTTGGCATGCGTCTATTTTTTATTTTCTGGAGAAAACTCCACCAGCCGCCACTGGATCCGGGGAAGGTTGACTCCAACTGCTTGATCTGAAGTATTTAAAGGTACACTATGCAACCGGTGTTGATTTCCAGCGAGGCTCCCCCCAGAGGGCGAAAGTAAAAGTGCACTGTCGTAAATATGCACAGCTGTTCTCCTGGTTTCTCCGTCAAGCCAGGCGCGGTTGTTTTGAGCATAGCAGACAGGCGAACGCAACGAATGACATGCTGCGTTCACACTGGACGTAGCTGCCGCGACAGAAGCAGCGAGTTTACATGCAAAGTCAATGGTTGACGCGCGTCAAGGCGCAGCAAAAGGTCCCGCGGCGCGTTTTGAGCAGCAGGCCCAGCGCGTCTGAGCAGCTGAAGCAGCTCGTCGGGCGCGTTTAAGCATCTGACGCAGGGAGAAAGACACAGCGCTGATGATCACTCCTCTTAAACAGTTTATTGACGCCTAAATTAACTTAAAATGCAGAAATCTGCCGGCAGAATATGCAGTTTGGATTATTTAGATGAAAAACACCTACCAGCTGCCGCGGTGAACCGCGAGGAGGCAACCCGGCCAGAGGCTGCTGATGAAGGGATCCCTACTGTCGGCGCATCCCTGGTATGTGGGGGTCTGAGCGGCTCCGACAGAAAAAATATTGAAGGCAGGATAATAATCTGAATGAACTGATGGCACTGATTACGTTTTCAGGTGTATTTTCTCACTTAAACACATATTAAAACTACTTTATTCCCACTGATCACAGCAAATATAGCTGCAAGGCAGAGAAAGGATAGTGAAGCTCTGCCCAATGCGCGTCAGACACACTTTTGCACCACGCAGCCAGAGCAGCAAAGCTGCTTCAGCCGCGCGTCAGAACTAACTGGTACAAGCAGCAAAAATGAAGCAGCAGACGCGATTTTGCTGCGTCCGATGTGAACGTAGCATAACTGCACAAAGATCGCCACTGTGCTAGCAACGAGCATGCTTTTAACTGGGGGGTGTAGCAGTTCTAGCCGTAAAGCAAGACTGACTCTCGTGAGACTTCTGAGCCTGTGGGTGCGGGTCGGTGCTCCTGCAATTGCAAGTGCGGTATTTCCCCCACAGACCACCAGGGCGGCCGAGAATACCTTTGTTCAACCTGAAATGACTCATTTAACGTTATGGAACACATTAATTAACTGAAAAATGTTGCATAGTGTGCCTTTAACTTTATTGTCAAATCAACTGTCAGAGGCGAAGACTACAAGCACACAAAGAAAATTTATATACTGAGCTGATACTTTCTGTGATTATAAACTGTTGAGAGAACATCAGTAAATATGATATTTTCTTTTTTTTTTCTTTTTTTTTTTTTTTTTGCAGGTTGAGTAAGTAGCCTGCAAGAGAAAGATATTTTAGGTCAGGTTTTATTATAACTTTGTCCTCCATTATTTTAGAAGTCTGATATTGAACCTGTTCTGTTTTCAGCAGTCTTGATCCTATTTGTCTTTTGGTGACGGATGCAGCCCACCAACAATGTGGGGAAGGATTTTCCTTCTTTGTGGGCATCTAGTTTTAAACACAAAAAAGGCACACCTGCGGGGCTTTCAGTGGTCTCTCTAAACTTAGATCCTTCAGCCATGTTTGTCTGCAGTCTTCTTGAATAATAATCCATTGATCCCAGGAATAATCCTGCTTCACTTTAGGTGAAGCCCACTACACACCATTAGGTACAAAACTAATTGCTTTTCTACAGCTTCAGCTGTCATCTCACAAGTGCTCGCAAAGATCCTGCAACACGAACAGGAATGAAGTGAATATGGGTTAATTTAAAAAGAAAGTTTTTTTATAGTGATTACTGACTTTGAGGGACAATAAATCAAATTTTTTTTCTTAAATTTGCCTGTTTTGGCTTCTTGGCCTTCCAAGAGTGGCTAAAAGAAATTGGTCTGTGTTTTTTTATACTTATACCCGCTAACATATTAGTTGCTGATTTCTTTTCAACTGTAAAACAACAACAATAATATATATATAAATTTTTTAATTAAATCATTGATTTAGAATTGTTAGAATGTTGGAATAAATAAACTCA